GTCGCGCTTGCCAAGTGCACCGGTGACGCCACGCAGATCTGGAAGTTTGACACGGTCGCCAAGCGCATCGTCCATCCCCAGTCCGGCTTTTGCTTGACCTCCAACGCCGCCAAGGTCGGTGCCGGCCCCAGCGTCGCCCCGTGCTCGCCCAGCGCCGTGAGCCAGTACTTTGACCAGTGCGACAACGTCAAGGAGAAGAGCTACGTCAAGCTCATCACCAAGAACAACAAGGTCATCTCCGAGTTTTACTCGGGCGTCTACGCCGACTGGGTCTCGGACTCGGTCAACGAGCTCTTCACGTACGACAACAGCGCCAAGACGCTCCAGGTCGCCGGCAATGGCGAGTGCCTTGACGCTTTCCGCGACGGTGACAAGTTTGGTCTCCACACGTACGCGTGCGACGCTACCAACGGCAACCAGAAGTGGATCATCGACGCCGCTGACCACAAGATCAAGCACGCGACGCACAACAACTTGTGCTTGGACGTGGACCCGACCAACCCGACGCACGCGGCGCAGGTGTGGGAGTGCCACAACTGGAACACCAACCAGTGGATTGACGCGGTGGCCTACTAGATATTGGTCCTAGTTAGTACAAACACTTTGATTTTAACGCGTACCCGCTGCATTTTACGGTGTGTCTTTTGTGAACGAACATCGCTGACGCGTTTGAGCTAGCGCCGTCACGAATTGGAAAGGTTCTTGGCCGGGTGGGACACCGAGGTAGCCTCAGTATCGAGCCAATCAAGTGCCATACGAAAGCCAACGAGCAAACATTGAGCATTTTGAATCGGCACCATGCCTTGAGACGTAGACGCAGGGACGACCTCGGTCGATTCGAGTTATGGAAGGACACAGGAGAATGTTAACTACAGTAGCATCACTGTGTCTATCGAGACGGCATCCTCGTATCTGCTGTCAAGGGTCTTGACCTGCTCTGGGGGGTCATCTGGAAGTGCCTCGATCTCGATGATTGGCTCAACTTTCCCCTTGGCATATATATATATATATATGAACGTGTTCCGCGTTATCTTCATTATGACACAAAGACTTCGCTTGGCATAGGCCACACACTATTGCTGGCGAGTAGCCAAGTGACTGATTATGTCGTACAAGCAACGAAGCCCATACTGTCAAGAACATGTGCGGCGCACATCACGCGGTCACATTCCCCTTGGGTGTGCATGATCTTGCCGACAACGCTCTCGGGTTACCTCTTCTCGACGCCAAGGCTGCACCAGAAACCAAGCCGCGTTCCGCTACCTCTGGTCAGTGCTCCGCGCATGCGTTTGGCTCAACGTCTGGCGAGTTCGGAATGATCGTCTTTCACTCAGATCTACCACTACTAAGTCCATGGACGTTTGCCGTCAAGGGAGCGCGTGTCGCTCAACTGCATTTGCACCACAACCTCGCTCAAGAGCCCGAACAGCCCGCTCTTCGTCGACTTCTCCGACTCCTCGCCCAACACGAGTGGCCGCGCTCCTACCTCCGCCTGTCAGATCAAGTTCCTCAACCGAGAGTAAGCTTACACAACAAAGAAAGACCGATATTTTTTAGTGCATTTTTATCTATTTTAATAGAGGACCCATTTCAACACCAACGACGCCCACACTGCTTGATGTGAGCAACTATACCGGTATATGAATGTGTTTCGCGTTATCTTCGTTGTTACACAAATATTTCGCATACGTAGAGACTAGCAATCTCCTTCTTCTTCATTCGCTCGCCGAGCCGTGGCTGCGCAGGCGGCGGCGCGGGGGCTCGTCTGGCTCTTCTGTCGTCGCCGTATGACGCTTGTGGCCGCGGGATGTGCGCAACTGCACCACAAAAACAGCCCGCGCCTGCAATAGCGGTGCCTCGAGTGTGATTAGTTGACCTCAGACGAATCGCAGACTTGTGCTATAATAATTTTGAGTTTTAGAGTCAGCGTGCATCTCGGATAGAACGAATCCACCGCATCTAGTCACCGAATTTCGGTGACTCTGGATGCGTCTCAGGTGAACTTGGATTCGTCATCGCAGCAGCTCATTAGAACGTGACGTCGTGTGTAGGTCACTTCACATGGCTCATATATATTTGGATGATTTTTTTGTATATTTGGGTGTCTGGGAGGTAACATCTCTCTTACGCCGCCGTCGCAAGAAGCAACCGGTACCAAAAAGGCTGTCCGCAGCACAGAGTTGAGTGGGCATGGAGCCCGCCCCAATTATTATCCCTTCCCTCGTGCTAGTACACCTACTTGGGCGCGGTGTGCATGACGTTTGTTAGGACCGGCTGTGTTGAAACCGTTGCGTGCGTGATCACAGTACACGTTACGGTGCGTTGACATGTCAGTGATTCGTCCGTTGGCGCGTGCCACTGACAGATTAGATGGTATTCTCTGACATGGGACAGCTACATGGGACGTATGTTTGATCACACTTGTCGCCTGTCCGCATCATTGTGTTATGGCCCTCTTTTGCACT